AATAATATTATACAACACACATGTACCTACTTTTGTAAATGTATTGGTGTTAATCAACATTATATACATTTGCAAGAGTATACATACGCCTTCAGAGATGCCCGCCCATTTGTTGTTTTGTTAATATCAATATGCCAGCAAGATCAATGGTTCCAGATTATTTTTTTACGACTGAACTTTCATCATAATCCCCTTAAACCAATTTTTCTTTTTGTAATGTTTAGTCACATACTTCAATGTTAAACTTTTTGTATATTATCGTAAAGAATGAAAATGAAAAAAAATAAAATAATAAATTATTATTTATAAGGGGTTTATTGCCACATGTAAAATAATCTAAAGATTTCTTATGTAATTTAAATTAAAACAATTTATAAATATTTATAATAAAAACAAATTTTTTAGATTTAATTTTTAAAATCAGTGTCGTTTGCGATACAGGTAAACTCCTCTCATTCCTCTCTTGATTGAAAGACAGCGTTGTCATAGGCAAAGGTCGTTAATAGTTTCTCTAATAATTTCAAATCTATAGATAATACATTTGCTTATATTTGAAAATAACATTATTGTCATAATAGTCTGCAGTATTGTTGTTGATATAGTATTTATTTCTATTCAATGTCATTCTAAAAATATCGCCTACAATATGCGATACTATATGATCTATTTCGTGGAACTCATTGTCTCTTTCAATTTCATCCCAATCAATAGAGCATACTCCACATTCCTGAGAATATTGGTATAAATATTTGTCTAACGATACATATATATATCGATACATATATGTATAAGTATATATGTAGATACTAAATTCACAAAAATGTCTTTTCTGTCAGTATGTATCCATTGTATCCATTGCATCCCTTCTATTCCAAACACAATCAATAAGAAGAATTTCTCTCGCCACTTGTTTCATAATATTTTTGTGGCGCAAGCTTCTAAATTTAAAATTTTTGTGCTTTGCATATAGAAATAATTGATAATTAAACAATATATCTGTTGTGTATATAGAAAAATTGATATCCGATATCGTCAAAATTTTGGAGCTTGCGTATAAATGCTTTTTATATTTTTATTTTTAAAAAATTTTCAAACATAGAGAAAATTTTCCACTGTATACACCTCAACTATAAAAGGAGGTCACGATTGGTGTGGACTACTTGTATGTTTTGAAATCGAAGAGCTGAATAGAAATTTTAAAATTTTGGAGATGCCAAAAAATCTATGTATTTTTTATGCATAATATGTATATAGAATAAATTTGGAATGTGCGTATCTACATGAGAAGAATGGTCAAGGTATCTTGATCGTTGTTGTTCTCCAAATGTAGAGCAATCGTGGGATTTAGTTTGTACGCTTATGATTTGTAGATATTAAAATTTAGTATATACTTTCAATATAATAATGGATATTTAACAGAAAATTAGGCTAATATTTTTGGAAGATACAGTATGATATCATAAAAATAAAATTTATAAATAATGTGATTTGATTGGATTGTATATTATTGTTTGTTAAGCAAAATTAAATAGGCTTTGATGAATTTAGTAATATAGTGACATGAATATATGAAACAAAAATTCAAATATCGATTTATAGAAACAGCAACAAAAAAAACTAAACAAAAGTTAAAAGTTTTAAGAGACTTAGGAAAATTTGAAAAAAGTTAATAGTTTTAATAGACTGGATTAATTGAAGTAATTAACTGAAATTACTAGATTAGTGAAGTAAATGTATTATTATGATTAATAAAATTTTAATATATCACATATTTTAATTTTATCAATTTTTAATTAAAACTAAAAGCTAACAATAAGAATACATAGAAGTTTTTCTATATGCCTATATACACATATGATTACAGGCATAAATATTTGGGGCTAAACATAGATTTAATATCCAACTTCTATTTTTTATACCTCTATGGTAATATCAGTAAACTAATTCCAGAGAAAACATTATAATATATGGTCTTCCGTATACTTCCGTATACTTGTATCTGCTTAACAACATTTTCTTAAAGCTTATCAACAAAATAAAAGTTCTTCGCAACATGAAAAGTTCAAAATAAGTTTAGCAACATTTTTATTAAACATTGCTATTACTGATCTGTTATATCGATGAACATATTTATAGGTGGAAAACCCATACTGAGAAAATTGTGAACGCTTACAACTGGAAGACTTTGTAGTACTTGGAAAGGCATTTAATTTTTATATTTAGTTTTTATTTCAACACATTTTTAAACCACCCTTGTTACCAACTCTTCCTTAGTTTTATGCACTTAAAATAGCCTTTTTTGGGAATATATATAATGGAATAAATATCTCATAGACCACTCCTTTCTCATGATAAGCTTTTACTGAAATTCTTGTTACGTAGCATCTTTGGAAATGTGATGAATTTTGTCGGAAAGGTTTAGCACTTGCTTTACCAATCAAGATCACTAACTTAAGTTACGTTTTAACCAGTGACCCGCTTTTCTTAACCGTTTTATATATATATGTTTCTAGGAATTATAGAATAAAATATAATATAAAACTTAGAATAAATATAAACAAAAAAATTTTAAAATATTTACTTGGATTTAATTGAAAGATTTTGTAATATTTTTTTTAAAACAAATCAAACTTTTTTTTTAATATATATTATTTTAGTGCTCGAGCAAAGCACTTTTATAGCTCTTTTACTAATATTAACTATAAATATTAATACACCAATGTTAGTTAATTGTAAGCTATTTAATATAATTGTATTTTAAATTGGTCCATGCGTGGATAATTATTTAACTGCACATGGTCTGGTATAATATATAGTGATACTCTATATAAGTGATTTGTGTTAAATTGCAATTAATCTATTAATACTTCTACAATTTAAGCATTGTTTAAAAAATTTTTATAAAATAACACGTATAAATAAATTATTTAATTACGTCATGAATTTTTCTTACAAGTTTGAAGAAATACTGGGCAGACGAATCTTGCTGTTAGACGTCCAGGTTGACCTGGTCTACATTGAAAAAAAACGCACCATACTCAGCACTATGGTATCGGTACTGACGGGTTACTGCATAATAGGGAAACCTCCTATGAGTAAAAAATGTGCTCCATCTCATGTGTAGAGATGGGCACTCTAGCTAGAAAAAGATTTATAATCTTTGGAAGCCCTTTTCTTGCTGATCTGACCGAACTGTCATCCTGCAAAATTAGGAACTTAGACAAATTCATAGAAATGTCAGGTTGGTCCAGCTTTACCTACTGTGAGCTTTCTTGATCTTAAAACTTTGACAAGGCCTCCACTCCACTGCAACCTAATCTAACCTATGCGAAGCTACATGGGGGAGTCATTGCCTTTCGGCGTTGGTCATATACTGATCTTTTAGTGTATATACATACTAATGCTATTGTACCGCAATGAATCATTATTTAAGGTCAAGTGAGCTTTATTGATCTTAAAACATTCACAAGGCATCCACTCCACTCCAATCTAATCTAACCTATGCGAAGCTACTGTAATACATAATGTATTAATCTGATTTTTAACCTCAATTTTCATGAAAAAAAGTAAATTCTTAATATAAGCTATTGTTTTCAGTAGGGAGGCTTTTCCCAACACTTTTAAAACCTACCACATCACTCAATAAGTCATGTGACTGACACACAGATGACGCTGCCATTGTCAAATCCATATAGCATTTATGAAGTGCCAACCTTCAAAAGATGTAAAATTTCATGACATTTTGATTAGTCAGAAAAAAAGTGATAGCCATTTAAGGGAAGCTACTTTTGTTATTTTCAAAACAATGGATTCAAAATAATTTCGTGTGTTAATTTATCATTGCTTCTTGATGAAAAAAAATACTGTACAAGCTCAGCAATGGCTTCAAAAGTGTTATCCGGACTCTGCTCCATCGAAAAGAACTATTTGTTATTGGTTTGCTGAATTTAAATGTGGTCGTACAGACACTGATGATGGTAAACGTTCTGGTCGTCTAATTGAGGTCGTTACTCCAGAAAACATCAAAAAAGTCCAGAAATTGGTTATATCTGATCGTAAATTGAAATTGCTTGATATAGCTGAGACCGTAAAGATATCAGAAGGCAGTGTGTTTACAATTATGCATGAACATTTGACCGTGAGAAAGCTCTTTTGAAAATGGGTGTCGCATTTACTCACAGTCGATCAAAAACAACAACGTGTTGATGATTCAGAGCAGTGTTTGGCTGTGTTTGCACGTAATAAATCAGATTTTTGACAATGTAAAAAACATGGATCGATTACTTCACTCCGGGATCCAAATGGCGAAGAAAAAAATTTTGTTTCACGAAGACAATGCACCATGTCACAAGTCAATCGAGAAGTTAGAGAAGCGTTGGTATGAATGTAGTGCTCTTGAAGGAGATTATATTGATGAGTAAAATCGATATTTGACAGAAAAAATTTGTTTTTCTTAGTTAGTCATACCACTTATTGAGTAGTGTGTTATCTAGGATAATAAAGTTAAGAAGTTTATGAAAACCTGTAGATATCGTTTCCAAAGATTAAATAATATCATATTCAATTAACTTTTACCGTCTCAGTTACTTAGAAATAGAAAATGTTTTTATTCAAAAGAAAAATAAACATGTATGCGTTATTTAAAATCATTTATAAGTGCACTATATATATTGTATATTAATTATTTATAATGGAAGACCGTAAAACAAAATAATTATTCGCAACGGATATTTTAATATATGCGAACAGACTTGCTAAAGGGTGCTTTCCACAAATATTTTTCCTGCACTTGAACGCTCAAGCGAAATTCACTTCATCGATAATAATTGATGTGAAAACAATGGTCCTGATTTCGTCGAGCCTCTTGTGTGTAATTTAACAAAAAAAAAAAAATATATAAGGATCAATCCTATTTAAGTTTCAAGAAATTCATGACGTGTTTTCACATATATACGAGTATATATTCCGTAAGCAGCAATGACACTAATTGACCATATGCCACATACGAGTACCAGATTCCCAAATACAAAAACTTCATCTGCGGAGCGGAGTCGTATGCGTGTAAGTTGCTTAAGTTCACGTTTGAGTTT